CAAAGTATGACATGTTTCCTTGATGTAGCTGTTTGGGTCCATCTTCAATCCATCGTTCTTCAGGCGTTGGTAATAGATACTTATCTCTTCTACTTCTACCCAACTTTACTGTGATCACAGGAGTCAGAATTAAGGTGGGCAGAGCTCTGGGCTTGGTGTCAAGAATGCACTTGACAGCTCTTTATTTGTGACAAGTTCCTGCCCTCCTTGTCCCTTACTTTCCCTGTCTGACTTGCTGATGGTTCTTAGTTGAAGCATTTTAATCTCCATGGGAGGAAAGGTATAATACATTGTTCAATAATTCAGTACTTTTCCATCTGTCTGAGTTGGAGAGGTACACATGTACCCTGCCCCTGTTTTAGTCCCATCCCTCCATCCCCTCCTCTGTCATCTTTCATGTTGACCTCTGTTGGGCAGAGGTGGACAGAGTCTCACTAAATTACAGATTTAGGTGCTGTTTCATAAGGGGCGCATGAACCACTTGAAAAGCCCCTAAGGAAGTAATAAATTACTAAAGGGATGAGAAGAAGCTCGATGGTGCGGGGTGGTGAGAGAGGTGAGGGCCGAGGGAGAAATGTAAAAAGGATTGAGGTTGAGCCTAAAGGGAAGGGCGGCTGGATGCTATCAGGAGTCTATCTGACTCTAATCAACAGGACAGCTGCTTATCATTGCTGCTGAGGAGGAACAAAGGAAATGGATTGAAGCAGAATTTAGATCAGGAGGAGGTTGCCTAAAATTAGTGAAATTGACCCTGGAGCAGGGTAATAGGAGAGCCTTCCTCTTAGGCACTATTGAAAGTTCCTAACAGGGACTCTTGCATCCAAGATAAGAGCTAAACTGGTTTAGTTGTACCCTGTTCAGAAGCAGAGGAGTGAAATCCCAGAGCAGAGAAACACGATCTGGGGCGTATGAATCTGAACACAAATGTTCAAAGGCAAGGATTTCCCAAGTCCAAATTTGGCACAAATGAAAAAGAACTTGGGTGCTGGGTGGAACTGGTTTTTTTCCATTGTTGACCTGGCAGAACTTTCTTATCTGAGCAGCTGAGCAGGTTTGATGCTTTTATGAAGCAAGATAGAAGCAAAAATATGGGCCAGCATGAGGGTGATGATCACAGAAAAACAAAAGGTGTGGTATTTGTGGAAATAGTACTATGCTTAATGGAATCAGAGGGGAGACGGGAGGGAGGGAAAGAGAGGACCGGGCAGACGTTAGCCGCTACACATACAAGTGGCTTCAGCTGCCAAATAATTCAGACTACTTCAAATGCCCTTTAGGTGCCCTGTGAAAAAGAAACTGAAGTGGATAAAGACAACCTGACTGACTGGAGTCTTGAGTCCTAGTAATAATGTACTTTCAATTGGAAAAACTTACTCTATTCTGAGAAAATAAATTGATCTTTGTTCCTCCCCAGCACTTCCTGATTAGAAATACCAGAATGAATTTGCTGTGATTCTTCTTTTGGGAGGAACCTGAGAGTTATGTTGGGGAACTGGGTGCAAGTAGGAGAGCTGGGCCTGTTTAATTCCAGGCCAGTGACTCACATCTGGTCCGCTGCATGACCCTGGTATATACCCAGTGAAATGTAGCATACCTAGGCCACATGATTTTAGCTACCAGGAGGAAGGGGGCTCTTGTTTCTAAATTGCTTCTTTTGGCCAGCAGTGGCCTCTCTCTGATTCAGAAAGAAAAACTCTGACTCACAGGCCATGTAACTAGGCCCCCTTCCTAGGCTGCAGTGTTGCCTTGTAGAGAATTCTCCCTGCCCCCAGACTGTGGCTCTGGTTGTACAAAATCCAGTCTACAGACATCAAGGTCAGAGCAATGCTTTTTGTACTGTGCTATGGAAACATCCTGTTCCATCAGATTCATTTGGCCCAAAGCACCTAAATCGTTTCTTATTTTCTCTGCCTTCCCATCATCCTATCACATCCGTCCGGCCCCCCCCACCCCCGCCGCCCCCACCAAAAATAAACTCTTTTAGTCCAGGCTCAACCATAAGTTCTGTTCTAAGCATCCCATCTTGATTGATGCCTGGGTTGAGTCCCGCCTCCTCCCCCTAACAAGGAAGCACACCTCCCTGTTTACAGTTCGCTGACAGTTCCTGGTTATCCATTCAGGAAATGTCAATGACCTTTTTGTGATAGGCTTAGAATCTGTTTTTCTAGTGTAAACATAATACGTTTTACCTTCCCCATGACCGTTTCTCTTCCTTCCGCAACTGCTGCACCCTGGAGTCACGTTCTCCCTGATACTTCAGTGCCTGACTGAATAGAACCCTACTGCAGTGAGAAGTACTTTTGTCCAGGCTTCCTGGGTTCTTCTTGTGAGCTCCTGGTGATAAGATAATTCGGTCTTATAATTTTTGTATCCCCCACAGTGCCTCCTATAATGCCTTGTGTTTTGGCAAAGTAAATTTTGTTTGTAGGAGGTGAAGGAGAAGACCTTTGAGATCACAGGGACAGTGAGGTCTGGCTAGACTTCAGAAAGCCCTGACATTCTGAAGGGGAAGGGCCTATTGGTTAAGGTGAGAAAGGGTATAAAAGCAGGCTGGCTAGAATTAAAAGCAAAACCAAACCAAGCCATTAGCAAGAGAGGCCTTAGGAGAGAGAACCGACTATCTCTGAAATGTGATCGACTGTCTCTGAAATGTGATCAGAAGACAGTCTTCAGGGCAGATCGAGCTTAAGAGCTATTGTTTGACATGTAGTAACAAAGCCTTGCTTTTGTTTTTCCCTGAACTTATCTTTCCTTGGGGGCATCAGTCCTCTTTGATATTGCTTGTCTTTTATAAGAGCATTTTTGATACCCTTTATACCTAAAGGTCTAGCAGCAGAATTGCTGCAAACAGCGTCAACTGGAGCCTCCAGTGTCCTGTCCTTTGTTAAAATCCCATAATGAGTAATTTATCATCCGCAGGGTGGCCGCCCTTTACTGTTCACTCTGTACTGAGTCTGCCCACTCCCTGCCCC